TAGGAAAGCCTTTAGTAGGCATTTCATCGAACATATGCTTGACCTCTAAGTTTCCATCTTCAAAAATTGATTCAAACCCAAAGAAGTTGGAAACATTACTCTTAGCAGTTAGAGGACTTACATAGGTCTCTGATAGTTCTAATGTTCCCGAACAATTAGAGTAAATTTGGAAATCAGTTGAACACCCTATTAAAGCAGGGGGAATCCATTTGCGATAATGCAGCTTCAGTTTCTCCGTAAAATGCTTCTAATCGACGAATTGTTTGTTCCGATATAGCCACTGGAACCATGCTAAAGCTTCGCCATCCAAGTAAGATGATGCTAAAGAGAGTTTAAATTCGTCGGCAATGGAGTAAAATTCAAAATACCTCTCGCCTCTAAAATCCAAGCCTCCAGATTTCCACCACGGAACCACCTTAATTCCACTGAAACTGGGTTGTTACGAAGAGTAGGTATTGTCGGACTGCGGATTGCTGGATCCCGGGGTGGAATGGACGTTGTAGCCTTTTCCCCCACTAGCTTCATTAACAACGAACGAATATCGGCAAAATCCTTAGAAAGCAAATCCTTCATTTCCTGAATTGAATCATGAATTGAGTCATCAACGAAAGCCTTGAGTACTTTTTGGTCCACCATTAGAGACCTCTGGATGAAAGCATCAATGTAACAAACTTGAAATAACCAATTCGTACACAAGTAAACTCACTTGTAGTGTTGCCCTTACTAAATAGAATTACAAGGAATAACAATTGAAATGACATAGAAGAACTGATAAGAAGAAAGAGGTGAGAAACAGAGACCGATGAAGAAGGGGATGAGGAAATCAGTGAGATGAGAGAGAACATATTTAACATCACAATTCGCATAATCCTTCATCACAATTCGCATAATCCTTCTTACTAACCTCTTGTCCCCTTTTAACCATTTGCTAATGGGCATGGATCCCAAATAAAACTCTCTAATATTATACTCAGCCTAATAATTCCAATTGACTCAGCCTTATTCACTTCTTCTAGTCCATAGACTCTTACGGAGTCAGCTTGGTTCACAACAGTTCCCTTTTAATACATGAATGAAAACAAAAACTATGATTCATGACTAATCTGTTTTTGTTAGTTAAGTGACTGAATTCCGTGGAATAAAGTTCGAATTGAATTTATATTAGATGGAATCACTATAAGTTTACACTTGACATTAGATCATCGAAAAGTTTGAGAATATTCTGTCGAACAGTTCTATAAAAAATTTATAAAGTTTTGATAAAATAGGCAGAAAAGGGGATTTACGCGATCAAACCGCTTGAAGATTTAGTCATTTATTTATCATAGAGAAGAAAGCTAAGATACCAAAAGAAAAAAAATACAACCGCTTTGTCAAGAATGGATTCGAACCCATGCCCTTTCGGACCAGTACCTAAAACTGGCGCCTTAGACCAACTCGGCCATCTTGACACTGTGAGATAGATTTCTAACATTTGCTCTTTCTATTGATTGGTTACACATTAGAGAAAAGCTTGTTAAACATTGAGAAGATTTGAAATGTGTACATGTTCAAGTTCCTTCTCTTTTCCAGTGATTAGATAATAGGAAAGCCGAAAGGGTACGAAGGAAGCCATAGTCAATTGGACGAATGATTTTATGTCAATTGTCAACAAACTTCAAATCCATGTGCTTGGTGGCGTATGCAGGAAATTTTTTAAGCGGTGTCGAAATTTATAGAAGAACTGGAATATAACTTTGATTATCATACTTTTAGACAAAAAATAGCTATAGTCAAATGGCTTTGTTGAGTCTTAAGTTAGAAAAGGTCTTGAGTTCAATTCTATTTCATCACTATTTTTAACCACAAAGCCTCTATCAAATATTTGCAAAAGAAAAATATGCTAATTAATGTTTGAACATTTGACCTCTTAGAGCAAAATCAAGCACCTAACCAACACATCAAGATATAATTTATGTCACATGATATATTTTTTTTATTTATCTATTTCCGTACAATATTAATACATATATTTAGTAAAATTTTCCGACGAAGCGGTGTCGCGTGACATCGCTTCAACAAGCGTGCATCCGCCCCTTATTGTGCTGGACTATTGCACTTGTTGCTATTGTTATTCTATGTCTTGGCTAATTCCAACGTAAAAATCATAGTTAAGTAGTTCATATATACAGTGTGCTAATTAACATGATCCTATCAACTTGAAGGAAGTTGATCTGTCTACATATTTGCTGATGCTCCAGAAAAAAAAAAGGAAGGAAAAAGAAGATCCTATGAGAACACGTCTCTTCTATTAGATATAAAAAAAAAAGCGGTGATTACATGCAACATATATGGTGCAGATTCAAGATTTAAAATTTATGGGTTCAATCTTTAAGGTTTTTGGAATTAAACCCGTTGTACTTCAAGTCGTGAAAACAGTCTTTTGCAGAAATGCAGGGTAAGCCTGCATACAATAAACTCTTGTGATCCGGTCATTCTTCGGGTCCCGTGCATAGCGAGAGCTTAGTACACTAAACTGCCATTTTATATTTTTAAATTATGGATTCAAACCTAATATTTATTATAATTATAATAAACTCTTACGTGCGGAAAAAATTGAGTTCAATTGAATCCGATAACGTTACAATAGATCCCCGATATGATGTCGACATGGAACTAATTTAGGCGCTTCTAGAAGTAAGTAGTTAACAGAGCATGGAGGGCAAAGTTTGAGGTTAAATGGCCTTATTAAGAGTTAAAGTTCATCGAAAATATAAAAATTATTTGAATGGTCAATACATATAGCTTAAACTCTATCATTGAACTCCTTGAAAATCCAATATAAGGTGTACTTTTTCTACTTGACAAATCTTTTGGTTTCGACTTGGCATTTGATGGCCTACCACTCAATAGTGGGTTGGTAAGTAACAAAAGTTAGGTTTATTAATTCTTTGTCAAATGCCACTTATCATTGTGCCACCACCAAGAAACTGTTGTTTACACTTGTCTCAATGAGTTTGATCGAAGCATGGTATTGTCACTGAAAAACGAGGATGTTTAAATCAAATAAAATCTGGACAGATGGAGACATACTAAAGTTGATGTATTATACTTATTTTGACTCATTTCTACGAGGGGCACTTATTCGTTGGTGTTAGAAAAATGAAACCTGAGAAGAAGAATCTATAATTTCAATCATTGTGATGAAATAGCTGGCGACTCCTAGAAATCAGTGTGAGAAGAAACTCTTAGTTTTTCCATGAGCTAAGGTCTATTAAAAATAATTTCTTTTATCTCACACAAAATAGAATTAAGATCTGCATATACTTCATCCTCTTCATATAGTACTTGTGAGATCATACTCGATATATTGTTATTGTTGCAATATGAGAAAAAAAATGTTATACCAACCTTGCAATTTAAACTTTTAAGTGATATCATTTTCTTAAATCAATACGATATCAAAGTAGGCAAATCCGAATTTAAAATTTTGCCATCACTCATCAACAAAAATATTTTAGTAGTTGAACAAAGAAACGTAAGTATTCATTTTCTAACCGCTAAAACACCCCCTCTATGATGTGATAATGTTGATAAATAAATAAAATTACTTGGGGTTTTTCTTTAAAAGAAAAAAAGATTATTATTTACCCATAAAATAGCACAGTTGAATTTATACATGATTTCTAAACAAGTGAACTAATTAATTTGATCTTGAAATAATAAAATAATCGAAGAATTATGCATTACTTAGCCTCAAAATGTAGATGAAACGGCAGAAGCAACAATTCCGGGAACAACAATAATGAAATCAAAAGGCGAGAAAGTAAGATTGTATTAAGCTTTGTATAGAATGTAGTATAAGTTTACCAAAAATTCGTGTCCTTTACAATGATAGTTGAGCTCATTATTTATAGCTACGTCTAGGGAAGAAGGTCCTAGGATCATGCCCCTCGTTAATGTCAATTATGAGGGTCATTGATGAAGATGTAACGGTGAGCATAAATACCAAATTTCTTGTAACGGGCAATATAGCTGTATTTAATACCATGGAATATTCTCTATTAAATGCTATCGGACGAGGAGTATTTATTACATCCTTATGAGTGTTACGTTATTCTCCCCAGTGACAAACGGAACAGTTGCCTTCGGTTTTGGACATTCCCTCGTCTTAGGTTCTACATGTTCCTTTTTTGGACGGCCACGTGGCATAGCATATTTTACCCAATACAATTACATTATAGTTTTGATTCGTGAACTCTTATGAAATTAGTGCTGATGGCACATTGGAGACACTGATGCAAGAAATGTACTACTAATAATGGCAATTATCATCACCGAAAGCAGGTTGCGCATGGCGCATGCTTCCCTCTCAATCCTTTATTTATGCACTTACGCTAATGCTATAAAATTAAAGAATACATGGGATGGGACATTGTCTTCATTATGATCTTCCGAAAAGTGATAAAAGTTTGTGGTGCTATCTTGCGTTCACGCCGGATTGGAAAAGAGCCGCACTTAAGGAGTGTGATGTAATACAGCCTAACTTAATATAAGCATTAGTATATACTTCTACTGCTTGAACCCGTGACATATAAGTCACAAAAAAAAGTGATAAAAATTTATTTATATAAAACGCAGATCCAAATGAGCTCTCTATCATTAGTTAAATTCGACTATTGTCATTTTTCTTCACACACTTTGGAGAAACAATTATATGTGACATGCTCAGACTCACAGAGAATGTGATAGCCTGCAAACCACACAAGAAATGTAAGCTGCACTAGACAAATTATGTGCGACAGGCTCAGACTCAAAAGACATTAAAGGTGGATCGATCCCAGGTCTGTCATAGATAAACCCTCCAAACCAACTGGGCCACCTGAAGGGCCACACCATAATCTTGGCAATCATAGTTTGAGATAATTAAACATCATGCGCTACTACTTTAATTTAATCAAACTCTTTTCCTAAATACTCTAATTTATTACCAATGCCTTTTCTATAAATTGAGCCAATACTAAGCCAATTGCAGCTCATCCCAAATTCCTTCAACTCCTCTATTGCTTCACTCTAGAAAATTAATTAACACATCATTATATTCAGTGAACAACAGCTGACAATGGAGAGAGCATCAAAACTTGTGCTTGTCACAATACTAGTACTGCTTCTTGCTGAAGCACATATCTCATTTGCTGCCACGTGTAGTCCAGTTCAGTTGAGTCCTTGCCTAGGTGCTATCAGATCATCAACACCACCATCTAAACTCTGCTGCAGCAAAATCAAGCAACAAAAGCCTTGCCTTTGCCAATATCTCAAGAATCCAAATCTAAAGAAGTATGTTAACTCTCCTGCTGCCAAGAAAGTTGCTCGTACTTGTGGAGTTCCATACCCCAGGTGTTAAATTAAAACTACACTTCCTATATTGATTAGGGAGTTAAACTTGACACTACTATAGTTTAAGCCAACCTATCAACATTATATCTATTTTCCTGCTTTGTTCTAATTTTAGTACTCTCTGTCTGCACCTGTCGTATACTAGGTGTTCTACTATTTACATGAAATAAAAATACGGAGTAGTATTTATCTCATCTGGTGTCTGTATCTTGGCTGTGATTTTCTTGGAATACAGATATATTTAAGTATTAACGTAAAAGTTTTCTACTTGGGTTTCATTTTTAATGAACAACTGCCATTATATTTTCTGTAATAATCATTCTCTTTCTCTTGCTGCAATGGAGATTGGAGAAGATTTATGACTATATTGTGTACAAAATTCTTTTGTCAAAAATAAGCATAGCAAAAACAAAATGAACAGTGAAACACAAAAAAGCTGATGTAAGCTTAAGAGTCAACCAAAGTGCAGAGCTTTTGAATCCACTTATTTTCAAAAATATTACAGTTGGAGTTTTAAATTGAGAGAGAGAATTATAAGCGCGCAAAGGTATCAGGTTTAATATTGTACATACTATTGCAGAATAAAATTGGAAACAGTAGTTATACCCCTGATTTATTGGTACAACATAAGGCTAAAATGTCATTGCAGAATATAACTGGTTTAATTCTGCAAATTATAGTCTGATAGAGAGGGACATTTCAATTGGATATTTTCTCAAATACTTGATGCTGTTCTGAATTTATCAGTCTGACCACACAGTTAAAGACAACTTGAATAGTCAAATAAGGAGACTTGTCTACATTTAATTAAATACAGTTTTGTATACGGGTAAAACCGGTTTCGTGATATACCCCGGTCCCCGACATGATAAGCCAATCTCGAGACATGATAACGAGGGACCGAAAGTGAGGCAAAGGTCTCATCGATTCAGAGTCTGGGACCACGACGCTCACCCTCGAGAATATCGGGGTCATGGTTCGGGATCATCCTTAGCCTTGAATAACTTCGAAGAACGTTGTCCGGTAATCAAGCACGGCCAACAGAGGGCCATGATATCCGTGACAGGCCAGATATTACAGCGGGGATCTCGACATGTATCGAGAGGGAACCGACAATCAGTTAATTAGAAATTTTTTATCTTTTATAAGAACTGTACCTAGCGTGAGGCTCTCCAACTATATAAAGTGGGTCAAATGATTCATGACACATTATATCACACATTCAAAAGCAACATATTATTGTTTTTTTCTAATGTTAGCCCTTTTTTCTTGTTTATCACTATTGACCATTGCGAGCCTGGATTAAGGGTGAGCGTCTCACTAAGGCTGAAACTATCCTATATGTGTAGTTTGAATTTATTTTTATCTTTACTTATCCAATCTAACCCAATTTATTGCTTTGTATCAAATTAATCCGCGTATCCTCAAAACCACTTACAAATTCAATTGTTATCCGATTTTGAGGGTAAATAGTTTTGCCTCCATCATAGGGCTAAGGATAATAGTGACTATTCGATAGAAACTTCTGTAACACACCCTATTTTACACTTGTTCTTTGGTGTATCTTTGATTTCAAGTTAAAGTTTGAAATGTCGAACTCCCAGGCTGCCCCTCTAAACATGGATGCTGAATCTGACCACTATGGCGAGAACAACAATGTAGTGCTTAGTAACGAGGTGCTCCCCGTCGACCTCAATAGATTTCCAGTTTCAGACCCGATTGACGCTAGCTCGCACGTGGACATCAATGCAAATTTGCATACCGATCCTGAGAACAACATCCGCAGAGAAGTCCGATCGGTTTTACAAAATACGCACGGCGACGAAGATAACAGGATCAACTTGCGGGTGATCTTCAAAATATTACAGGCTTAACAGACAACAATATCCTAGCTCCAGAACCAAAGCCGCACCCTGAGCAGGATTGAGCCTGAACCGTCCTGGGAATTCGCCTGCAGAAATGAACCGGCCATGGAGAGGCCAAATGAAAGTGAATCAGGGACTAACCCCGATATCATAAAAATGCTCGAGGAACTAACAAAACGGGTAGAATCAGGAGAGAAGAAAATCAAAGCCAATGACAAAAAAGTGGAAACCTATAATTCCAAGGTTGATCAAATACCAGGAGCACCGGCGATATTAAGTCTGGATTCCAATTTTCAAAAACCATTCCCTCCGAACACAGCTCTGAAGCCTATCCCTAAAAAGTTCCATATGCTAGAGATTCCTAAGTACAACGGAATGGCCGACCCAAATGAGAATGTGACCTCCTACATATGCTCCATCAAAAGGAATGACTTGGAAGATGACGAGATCGAGTCTGTCCTGCTGAAAAAGTTCGGGGAATCTCTGTCAAAGGGAGCTATGATATGGTATCACAACCTACCTCCTAATTCTATTGACTCGTTTGTTATACTTGTAGATTCCTTCATGAAAGCACACACTAGGGCTATCAAGGTCGAGACCAGGAAGTCATACCTTTTCAAAGTAAAACAGAGGGACAATGAGATGCTCAGAGAATTCGTGTCCAGGTTTCAAATGGAACAGATGGACCTGCCTTTGGTCGCGGACGATTGGGCCATTCAAGCCTTCACCCAGGGACTTAATGTTCGGAGCTTGTTGGATTCACAATAGTTAAAACAAAATCTGGTAGAATATTCGGCTATTACTTAGGCCGGCGTACATAACTGGTATCAATCAAAAATCAGGGTCGAAGATGATAAACTTGGGCCCCCTACCTGGTCCGTTTATCCCGTTAGAACCATCGATAGAGTCAAGAGAGACATTAATCGTGAACTGAGATCAAACAGAGATCGTTATCAACCATATAACAGGGACCGAAGAGGTAACGGATCTAGGCGAAACCCCGTGAGGACTAAAAGGAGGAGTGATCAGGGTCAAAACAACCAGGGACTCAGGAGCAAAAACAGTTTCTATAGATCCATCGAGCTTTAAGAAGCGCCAAGATTATCGGAATATAACTTTAATATTGACGTCGTCGCCATCATATCTTCCATTGGACGCGTCAAAGACACCAAATGGCCTTGACCTCTACATTCCAATCCAGCCGAAAGAGATCCTAATCTAATATGCAAACATCATGGCTCACGAACACAGAACAGAGGATTGCCGACAATTAAGAGAGGAAGTAGCATGGCTATTCAACAATGGACATCTCCGAGAGTTCCTGAGCGATTGAGCCAAGAATCATTTCAGGAATAGAGATACTACTAAACAGATCGAGTAGGAAGAACCTCAGCAAGTCATTAACATGATCATCGGTGGGTTCGACGTTCCTCAGGGGCCAATGTTGAAATGCACCAAAGTATCCATCACAAGGGAATAACAAATTCGGGATTATGTGCAGAAGGAACCTTGTCTTTCAATGACGAAGATGCAGAAGGGATCGTGTAGCCTCACAATGATGCATAAGTAATATCTGTACCCATAAATAAATCTTAAGTTAAGCGTGTATTAATTGATCCAGGTAGCTCGGCCAACATCATTAGATCGAGGGTCGTGGAATATCTCGATCTACAAGATCAAACTGTGCATGCAGACCGAGTTTTAAACGGATTCAACATGGCATGTGAAACCATCAAAGGAGAAATAACATTACCGGTGAACGCTGCCAGGACCATCTAGGAGGCCAAGTTCTATATGATCGAAAGAGATATTAGGTACAATGCTCTATTCGGGAGGCCATGGATCCACAACGTAAGGGCAGTACCCTCGACCCTACACCAAGTGTTATAAATTTCCAATGCACAGAGGGATTAAAAAATATCAACGGAGAACAACAAACCATGAAGGAAATGTTCGTGGTTAAAAAGGTAATCCTGATATCCGCACTTACAACGACAAAAGGTCCAGTTTCGGTCGTCAAAGAAGAAGCCAAATGGCAATTACCAACACTGTACCTGACCCAACTGGAGAAGCTAGGGGCTGATGAAGATGATGACTACGGGGTCCCAGGTCCTTCATAATACCCTATGATTCCAACACCACCAAGTCAACGGTCGAAGAACTAGAGCAAGTCATACCGATTGAGCATTTGCCTGATCATAAGGTATACTTGGGCACGGGGTTAAGCCTCGATCTCAGGAAAAAAACTCATTCAATTCCTTATAGCTAACATGGATTGTTTCACTTGGTCCCACCTTGATATGACAGAGATCCCCCCGGAAATAACCACTCATAAGATGATCCTGGACCTGAAGTTCTATCCGATCAAACACAAAAGGAGACCTCAGTCCGAAATCAAGCATGCATTCATCAAAGACGAGGTATCTAAACTCTTTAAATAGGGTCGATTCGGGAAGTTAAATACCCGAATTGGTTAGCAAACATAGTGGTAGTCCCTAAAAAGGGAATAAATTAAGAATGTGTGTGGACTATAAAGATTTGAATAAGGCATGCACCAAAGACTCTTTCCCTTTGCCAACATCGATCGCATGATCGATGCGACAACCAGCCACGAGATCCTCAGTTTTCTCGACGCCTATTCTGGGTACAACGAAATTCGGATGGACCCAGGTGATTAGGAAAAAACGTCCTTCATCACTAAGTATGTTACCTATTGCTATAATTTAATGACATTCGGACTAAAAATGGGTGCCACTTACTAACGCCTAGTAAATCGAATGTTCGAAGAACAAATAATAAAATCAATGGAAGTTTACATTGACGACATGTTAGTTAAATCTCTACGAGCAGAGGACCATTTAAAACATTTGCAGGAAACCTTTAACATATTGAAGAAGTACAATATGAAGCCGAACCTGGAGAGCGTTCAGAGTCGTGTCCGGGAAATTTCTTGGATTCTTGGTATCCAACCGGGAAATCGAGATCAGCCCCAATAAGATCAAGGCCATTAAAGACATCACTATTGTGGACAATGTCAAAACCGTTCAAAGGTTAACCGATCATATAGCCACCTTGGGTCGATTCATCTCGAGGTCCTCCGACAAGAGCCATCGGTTTTTTCACTATTAAAGAAAAAGAATAACTTCTCATGGACCCCGGAGTTCCAACAAGCCTTGGAGGAACTCAAGCGGTATCTCTCGACCCACCTCAGCTTCATACTCCGAAGATAGACAAACAATTGTCCCTGTATTTAGCAGTATTCGAAGTAGTGGTAAGTGGGGTCCTTGTCCAGAGAAGAGGAATGCATGCAATTTCCAATCTATTATGTT